TACCAGCTGCTGCACTACGATGCGGAGAAACTCCCTGTGGTTGTTTACTTTATTGGGGATCGAAAATTCCTGTTTGACAAGACCAGCAGGACGGTGTCGACATACATGAGCGAATCCAGTAATAAGTCTGTTGTGAGGAGTCTGTCTGACCGTGGGATGAAGGGGTATATTATTTACGATGTGGCAGAGCCGGATGATGAACCGTCTGGTAATTTGGCTCCCAGGGGATGGGGCATGGTTTTGGTGTCACCCCCACTCGAGAGGAACTACAAAGAATGGGTGAAGCGGAGCGGTGCCACAGAAATAGTTATGAATTGCCCTGGTGAAAGCGATGTGAAGGCGATGTGCGTTTGGATGAGGCGCCATCAGCCCGTGCGGGAGCAGGCGGAGTACTGGCATGTGGTGAAGGGCCAAATGGATGAAGTGGGACCTATTCCACGTTATGTCTTTGACGAGCGAAAGTATCATAATTGGGTTCAACGGTGTCACAAGACCGTCGATGAGGCGACCTCTTCTGTAATCTTGCAATACAGTGGTTTGGGATGTGGTGGATCCTGGGATCGTATGAAGGTGCTCTACTGGCTTGCGAGGGTTGTCCGAGTACGAGGTGGAGAGTTTGGTTCTGAATTTTTTTTCAATTTACCGGTGTCTGCTCACCTCGGAAATAAAACATTATTCAAGTCGGCGAAGTTAATGCAGCAGCATGATTTTAATTTACTCATATCGGGGCTGACGGATTATCTCATATCAGAAAATTTTGGAAGGTGCACCGTGTTTGCATTTTTGAATGGATCTTTTGTGAGCACAATAGAACGCAGGCTGAGGGAGCTGAGGCCATCACCACAACGTCAGTCCCACCGCTGTGCGCTGGCGGTGTACTCACAGGAGCGCTCCACCAGGCACCATGTCTTACCGCCACTGGAACACGTTTCTGAGAGGATTGATGTGGAGTGCGGGGTGCTGTACGTAACGGAGGTGGAAAACTTTCCGCTGTTGGACGGCTTTTTCTTTGTGAAATCAAATCCAATGACGCTGGTTGGGCTGCGGATGGCTGCGGCGGGTGGGCATCACACCACAGCCAGCACTGTGAGGCAGTTCACTGAGCATCTGGCGGAATATTTTAATGGCTGGGAGGAGTTATCCCGAGACATGTCGTGGGAGATGATTTATGTGCAGCACGCAGACAGCACGCCGATGAATGACTGGCAGAGATGTGATGTCGTCGATTCCAATAACGTGAGCGGCGCGGACAACAATGAAATTGCGGCGTTCTGGAAGGAAAAGGTGCGCCAGTACCAAGTGCCAATATCATCCGAAGACGCCCCAAGAACGCCTTAGAATTGAGGAGTAATCAAAGGAATAAATAGGAAAACAAATTAGGGAATTGCGGGGGTATTTTGAGTTCTGGTAATAAATATTGGGGCTTTTTTCATGTGGTTGGATGCCTGTGTGTGCATACAGTGCAGATGCACCAGCATCAGGCGGCAGCATCACACACGGATGCGGAAAATGTCCAACGCGAGCGATCGTAACAGTGAACAAAGAAGAAATTATGGGGGGAACGGGGTAGTTTGGTTTCTGGTAGAAAAACATTGCGGGTTGTTTCATAAACGTGGATTTCTGTGTGTGCATACGAGGCATAGTGGGGAAATTGCTCTTTTATGAGAGAATGATTATGACCAGCGGTGATGAAGTATGACTACGTTGTTTATTTCCTCTTATTTTTTTTGTTCCAAGGCCCATCATTAAACGAAGCGTCTTTAAGGGATGGACGACAACCAATTTCTCTTGTGAAAACAGTGCACTCCGTGTGACTGCTTGGAGTGGGGCACCGTATTCAATTGAGGGTGGAATGGCTTCCTTGTGCCTGCGTCATCGTTGCTTCCCCTTGCGATTTCATGCTTGACTGCCTCACCGCGGCGCCAGGGCCCAGCACCCCGTATTGTCGGGGGAATTTAGGAGCCAGCATTGTTTCCCTCACGGGATCGTTGTTGGCGCAGGGCTGACGGCATCTACAAGCGTCCGGACCAGTCGCGTCGTGCCAAAGCAAATTGCAGCACTTTGAGGTCTGGGGGCACGTGCTACCGCGGTGCGGGCATTACGATTTATTTGGGAAAACACACGGGAAACAAAAGAAGCACATTTGTGAGTGCTGCAGCAAATTGGCGCCCATGCTCTCTTTATTGAGAATGGACAATGAGAGGGTGCGCCCTGCGCCTGTTGCCTACACTCTCATAGCCACGTTTTGAATGGAGCGTGTTGGTGTTTCTCTGAAGCGGGGTCCGTGTTTCAACGCGACTGGGGAACACGGTTGGCGGTGGCAGGAGTTCTTCCCGGAACGGCACTGGAGTGCCGGGTTCCCGGAGTGGGTCTCTCGCCGAGGTGGGGATGGCGCTCAGGGATTGCCCCGAGGCTGCTTCTCAATGCCGTTGTTGTTGTTGACGGCCAATCGCTGATGGGAGGGCGAGAGATAGTGTGCTGTCGTGTGATTTCTCTCAGTGGCATTCGTTGGAGCGATGCATGTGTGCTTGCCTTGTAGATACGGTGTTAGGGATTCTTATTTCACGCTATTCGGTGCCGCAGAAGTGGACGGGGAAGTGATGCAGTCACGAGCTGCACGGGCGGGGCGGACACGGTTACGCGAGCCTGTGGGTGATTCGAGCAAATCCAAGTGTACCATGCGGTTTGGGTCTACAAGGAAGGAAGAAAAACTGGGCGGCTGAGGGGAGTTGCAATGCACGCGGCTGCAGAAGATGACATGCGCTATTGAGTTCACGTTGACCGCCACTTTGGATGCTTTTTCTCGAGGCCGTGAATTCTTCCTTATTTGGAGGTGCTTGATGACACCAGACGTGGAAGGCATTTTCATTTCATACGAGGATGGCACACGGGAGAAAAGGAAGAAAGAGAGCGAAGTCTCGCCAAAAGAGCAGCTGCTGGAACGTTGGCGAGACTCGGGATTGTTTGCACGGCCAGCTGCTTGCTCTTGGCAGGATGTTCCTTGAGGCGTTCATTGGCCCGGGTGTGAGGTGCACGCACGGGCAGGCACCGCAACAACAGTGCCATTACTTCTCCGTTGCACGAATGAGACGACGCACATCAGGCATGGCAGTTGACGGCCTTTGCGAGCCTCCCTTCTCCCACAGCCTCTTCTGTTTCACACCTCGGCATTTTCTGCGCTGTGAAAACCACTGCCATTGGCCGTCCTCTGTGACACGAGAGCCGCCTGTACTCCTCTCCATCGCATTGAAGAGTCGTGAGGAGGGCCTGAAGGTGCGTTGAGGAGCCGTGTGGCCTCTGCGAGCATTTCCTCTGTTTTTCATAGGTGTTGAATTTTGGATTACCGAAACGCACCTTGAGTGCTTGCGTTAGAGGCACACATAACTGAGGGACAGGCGTGCTCGTGGAGGTGAAGGAGGGCCACACCATTGGGAGGAGGAAGAGTGAGTGGGTGGTGTCTGTGGCCCACATGTGGTGCCCGACTGGTGCTTCGCGTTGTTTGGTGCCATTATCATTTGCATCCACAAAGAATGGCTTTGGTTGCTGCTTTTCCCAACTCTCTTACTGTTTCTGTGTGTTGCGTGTTTGTGGGCATGGCTCTTCTTCCGTGCTGTGCATTTGCTGCATAATCTTCTGATGGTCTGTGTGGAATATGTGACGATTTGCGGCATTTTTTTAGTTGAGCTTTGATCGGTACCGCCGAATGACAGTCGGATTGGAGGCGTTACTTTTTCTTTACTCTGATCACGTGCGATGTGTATGGGAGGCCTCTCAGGGAAGCGCTAGCCAAAATTCTTGCAAAGCCCATGTCTGGTGCCATACTTTTTATTGACGCGGAATGAGTTGGCGTTTTGCATGCAACCTTCTGTGCATTCTTGCCGTGGTGCTCCTCATGCATGGCCCATGGAGACGACTGGCTGGGAATTGTCAATGGGCTTCTCGTTGAGCCGAGGGGAGCATACTGCCTTGTTTACTCATTGAGAGACCGGGCGTCACGGATGATGCATGTGGCAGGAGGAGACTAAGGGCTGGTTGTTTGATTGTTACTGACGAGTCCTGCCTCACTGCTTGGAGGGGGCTGTCGTTTGCTGGGGCAACCTGTTTTGTGTGTCCAGACACTGTTTGCACCGAGTGGCGTGGTGCCGTGTTGGTGTGTGCGGCTCCATCATGCGGGACGGCTGCGTGACGTTTACGGACTGTGCGCCTGTGGATTGATGAATGTGGCGGGAGGCGTGTCTGAGGGGAATCTGCGAAGGGAGGGGTGACCTTCGTTTGGCGGAGCTGCTGTTCGATGTGCGAGGGAAGAAGAAAAACAAGTGATTTCTGACGCGTCTGTGAGTGTGCCACGTCCACCGATGAGTTCTCAGGGAGAGGGAAATGAGGGAGGGAGGACGGAGACTGTGCGCATCGACTGCGGCGTGTGGTGCCACAGGATGCGGTTGACATTGTGAAGGATGTGACGGCCGTCATGCGTGCAGCAGAGCGTCATCGGCATCTTTTTGCCTGCAGAGCGTGTAGGTGCTGCGAGGAGGTGCAGGCGACCTCTCATCATTAGGCTGCTAAGGCCGTTTTTCCTCTCTACTCAGCGGGAGGGGCAACTCTTCCTGCACGTGACATGCTGGTCTGCATCGATGCTCCCAACGGGTTGTCACGCCGCCGTGTCGTTGCAGTGCAACTCTCGTGCTCCTCACTGCACACGTGGCTCCCTGTCGCTTGGCTTATTTGCAGGGCCATGGCCTGCGGTCCCCATTGAGAGGTCGTTCACATGCTTTTTTTTTTTTTTATGCTGTTGAGAGGTGCTGGGGAGAATAATGGCTGCGGGGGCGCTGATGTTGTGGTTTGGTGTGAGTGGTGGCGGTGTGTACCGTTGTTGTACTGCCTTTCTTCCGCTGTTGCCTGTTGCTCTTCTCCAAAAAGGAAAATAAACGCTAATCGCTACTGTGAAATTTGAAGGCGCTGAAAGGACCAACAGCACACACAGTTGACCCACACATATTTACATGCTCTCAAGTGTTGCTGCAATGAAGGCACCCCGCACACACAACCGTCGCTGCGTGACCGGATCCAGCGGAAGGAGGAGGGAAGGAGGAGAGAGTGAGCCGCCGAGGCCCAACATGTCGCGGCGTGTGTTTACTTCCGCGGTGCTGCTTCTTCTTTTTGTGATGACGTGCTGTGGGAGTGGTGGAGCTGCTTCTGCTGGGGGGAGTAATGTAAAGAAAGCAGTTGATGCGTTGAGGGGGATTGGATGGGAAAAGCTTGACAACTGGGAGGATGTTTCTGGCGCTGGTGGTAAATATGGCTCGCTTCGTGGTCCCAGTCTCGTTGATCTGCAGGGTCATGTATTTGCTATTGCTGAAGTCCATTGCAGGGATGGAGGCGAATGCAGCGACGTCAGCTTTACTGGGATTGCGTCAAAGTACCTTGATTTAAGTGGTGTTGCTGATCCAACGGAGATCTTGACGGCAGATGCGAGTATCTTTGGCGCAGATCTTCTAAAGGAAGGGTCTGAGGGTATCGGCGCCAGAAACGGCATAACGCGACCAACGACACTTGTACTTGGGGAAAGCGTTTACGTGCTCCTGGGAAACTACAGCCATACAAGGCCGCAGGTTGGGGGCACGAATGAGCGGGGCCTTTTA